TCCACGCCATTATTGCAGGGTCTGTTTCCTAAAGTGTGGAAAAAACCCCTTCACGGGTGTGAGGACCTGCCTTCCGGTGATCCCCAACAACCTCTTGGCTCATTGGTTTTGTGCTCGCTTACCCCGCACAAGGTCCAGGTTCGACCCCTGCCGTGACGCTGGTTTTTTGCTTTTTCAGGAAAAGCTGGGAGTTGGCTGTTTCTTTAAAAATGCTTTGCTGCATTCTCTATCAACTCGGTTTCCCCAAAATTCTCTGCTAGTTGTCCCTTAAAACATGAACTCGTTTTCTTGGTGTCCAACGGACCACCGGAGGTGCGTTTTCCTGGTTATTCGCTTCGATATCTGTCCACGTTGTTTTTTATCGTATGAAGTCTATTCTTATCAGATTTCTAGGTGCATTAATCGAATTTCCCCCATTTTCCCCAAGATTCTCTGCCAGCTTGCCCAAAAATTTTTTAAAGCCAGCCAGCCTTACCGTTTCTTTTCGATGTTTTTTTAATATTCTGAGCAGATTTTGATATTTTTAGACCAGAAAACAGTTACTAATCACATTTTTACAGACTAAAACCTTCGATTTCTGAAGATTATTTTTAAGGTGAAAATTGTCCTTTTTCAATTCTTCTTTAAACTGAATGGACATTTTTTTTATCATTTTAAGCTCTTCCTTTTCTTTTGCAACTTAATTATAAATGATGGTAAAAATCTGCAAATTTGGCCATTAAAAAATTTTATTTTTAGATCTTTATATTTTTATGTAAATTTTGTGTTTCGGATTTTCCCATTCGGAATTTTTAGTAAAATACTGACTGAAATTAATCCCTAATTCCAGAAGCCCCCTCGTGCTCATCTACCCGGGATCATTGTCTTGAGGAGTGTGTAGCCCGCGCCGGGGAGGAGGAGCTACTTTTGTCGGTGTACGGCGGCGGATACACCCGGAGGTGTTCACGGCCCGGAGTGACGCGTAGTCTGTGCGTGCAGATTTGCTGCCCGAGTGCTGCGCCCCCCCTCATAACAACTAAACCCTCAACATGGGTTGCACCATGTCACAGGTATGCGGCTGTTTATGGTACTTTTGCATTACCGGGGGGTAATTTTTTCAACAAGTTTATCTTACTCTTGGATTTGCTAGCAGTTCGTCGAAAATCGCCTGGTTCAGGACTGTTAACAGTTCAGGGACGGAACCAACTTTTTGCCTGTGTTTCTCTACGGCCCCATAACAAAATATAAACCATTTTTATAGCATTTTACTTAGTTTATAAATATAGAAACAACAAAAATACATAAAAAAATTGCGAAAAATTTGGACTTTTTGCTCAAAATGTATGAAAACGACCAAAAAGTGGTCCCCCTCTAAACTCCACCCCCGCTAACAGTCCAGAACCAATCATTTTGTCGAATTTTTTGATGTCGAAATTTCATAATGTCGAAACTCATAAGGTCGAAACTCGGAATATCGGCATTTTTTGCATATGATTCGGGGATTTCTCGGGAAATTCGCTTTTTTAAATTTCGACATTCCGAATTTCCACAAAACGATATTTTTACAAAATGAGTTTCGACGCTCCGAATTTCGGCGTTATGATTTTCGACTAAATCAGCTTCAGCCGGCACTTTTGCATCATCGGGGGCGGGGTAAATTTTTCCCTTAACCCGAGAAATGCCTAGTCACATAATGTATTTTAATAGTGTTTTAATAGTGTTTTTGGAAATCGGCGATTTTTATTGGAAAAATAGACTTTTGCATATTTTAAATAAACTTTTGCAAAAAATAAGTTTAAGGATAATAAAAAAGCTAAGTTCATAACGTATTAGGCCTTGAAAGATCCTATTTTTCTATTTAGGAGGAGCGGGCCGCTCTCGAGCGGTCACGGATGATCGAGAAGAACCTGAAGGAGGACGGCATGCAAGCGGCAAAGGACATCAAGTTGTTGCTGCTCGGAGCCGGAGAGTCCGGAAAGTCCACCATCGTCAAGCAGATGAAGTGGGCTTCCTTCTATTTCACTAATAATTATTACCTAAATTTTGGCCATTTCTAAAGCTAGAAAATACCTCTTGAACTTGTCGCAGTTGCGCGAAAATCGGGTGTTTTTTAAAATATGGGCAGTCTTTTAAAAACTGCCTTTTCCAGGATTATCCACGAGTCCGGGTTCACCGCCGAGGACTACAAGCAGTACAAGCCGGTCGTCTACAGCAATACCGTCCAGTCACTGGTCGCCATCCTGCGCGCCATGGCCAACCTTGGGGTCGCGTTCGGGACCACTGACCGAGAGGTGAGCTTGCTCTCTTGCTCGTTCTCTCCCACACTCTCTCTCTCTCGCTCTCTGGCTGCCTCGCTATCTCTCTCGCTCTCTATCTCTCTTGCTCTCACTCGCTCTCGCTCTCCCTCTCCCTCTTTCTCTCTCTGTCTCTCTCTCTCGCTCTTTCTCGCTCTCTCTCGCTCTCTCTCTCGCTCTCCATCTCTTATCCTCAACTTTCTAGGGTGACGCCAAGCTCGTAATGGACGTTGTCGCAAGAATGGAGGACACCGAGCCGTTTTCAGAGGAATTATTGTGTAGGTTTTACCAAACTCCATTTTTAAGATATTTATATAATTCAATTTTAGAAATTTGAAACAATTTAAATAACTTAAAATTAAATTTAAAAACAAAACAAAATAAAACGTTAATTTCCCCTTTTCAGCTGCAATGAAGCGGTTGTGGGCGGATTCCGGGGTCCAAGAATGCTTCTCCCGATCCAATGAATATCAGCTCAACGACTCAGCAAAATAGTAAGCGGCTTTATCACATTTTTCGGTTCAATAAAATGTGATTTTAAGACTGAATAAACTAACCATAATTTTTTTCAGTTTCCTGGATGACCTGGAGCGGTTGGGTGAAGCGTCATACCAACCGACAGAGCAGGATATCCTCCGTACTCGTGTCAAGACGACGGGTATCGTCGAAGTACACTTCACTTTCAAGAATCTCAACTTCAAGTCAGTTTCAGTAATACGTTTTGCTTAGCTTGCGTACGTTTTTACGTACAATTACGTAGTCGGCGGGCTGGAAAACACGTTTCAGGCTTTTTAATCAAAGAATCCTATTTTTCAAGGGTTTTAAAAGCAGTTTTACGCATCCGGCAGACGTTTTACGTACATTTACGTAGTCGGGAAGCTGGCAGCGAAGTTTGGGGATTTTTTAAAGGCAGTTTAAGTGTATTTTCACGTATCTTGAGTACGTTTTTTCGTACATCTGTGTGGCTCGCAGGCTGGAAAACACCATCACGTTTTTTAGTTGAGTTTTCTATTTTTAAAGAATTTTATAAATAATTTCACGTATTGTGCATACGTTTTCACGTACATTACGTAGTGAGCAGGCTTTTAAAGGTCTCGTGCTAAATTTTAAAAAGTAGTTTCTCCTTTTGAAAGCATTTTTTACATGATTTTGCAAGTTTTTAAAGTACTATTTAAATAGAGGGCAAACTCGAAGAGGTTTTTTAGGAATTTAAGAATGCAATAGTGGAGCTTATATAAATTTTTCTATTGCAGATTGTTTGACGTGGGAGGCCAAAGGTCGGAGCGAAAGAAGTGGATCCACTGCTTCGAAGACGTCACAGCCATCATTTTCTGCGTGGCCATGAGCGAATACGATCAAGTACTCCATGAAGATGAGACCACGGTTGGTTTTAGCAATTAAAATAGTATTCATGACCGCTTCGCAATAAAAAGGATCCCTTAAAATCTATATCTCACCCTCCCGATTTTGCAGAATCGAATGCACGAGTCGCTGAAGCTGTTCGACTCGATCTGCAACAATAAGTGGTTCACGGACACGTCGATCATCCTTTTCCTCAACAAGAAGGATCTCTTTGAGGAGAAGATCAAGAAGAGCCCATTAACTGTCTGTTTCCCTGAATATTCGGGACGGCAAGACTACCACGAGGCATCTGCATACATTCAGGCACAATTTGAGGCCAAGAACAAGTCGGCTAACAAGGTGTGTGAGTCTCTTTATCTCTGTCTGTATCTCTCTCTCTCTCTCTCTCTCTCTCTCTCTCTCTCCTTGCCTCACTCTGTGTCTTTCTCTTTGTCTCTCTCGCTCTCGCTCTCACGCGCTCTCTCGCACTCACTCTCCCTCTCTCTCTCTCTCTCTCTCTCTCTCTCTCTCTCTCTCTCTCTCTCTCTGTGTGCCTTTCTCTCTCTCTTTGTTTCTCTCTTCTCTGTCGCTCTCGCTCTCACGCGCTCTCTCACACTCTCTCTGTTTCCCTGCCTCTCTCTCCCCTCTAGCTCTCTCTGTCTCTCCCTCTCTCTAAATACTCTCCCATTCCAGGAAATCTACTGCCACATGACGTGCGCGACAGACACGACAAACATCCAGTTCGTCTTCGACGCCGTCACCGACGTGATCATTGCGAACAACCTGCGAGGTTGCGGGCTGTACTGAGGTGTCGCGCGTAGTCCTCCCCCTCTCTTCTTCTTCTGCTCCCCATACTGCCGCCCGTCGATAGAAGCGTCTCGTCCTGTTTTTTCCAAACCCAACCCCGAATTCCTGCCTTCTCCCTTAATTCTGCGGCTTTGGATGCAAATTCTCGGATGCAAATTTCCCGACCTTAAGTTATGTATAAGCGTTAGGATGCCCCTTGCAGGTTTTGGCGCCTTGCCGAAACTGTCGATTATTTCCGGAAATCCCCCACACAATCGCCGAGCTTTTCTCTATCCCCGCGTCACGGATTTTTGATATGCAAATTTCGACTATTTCCATGAAATTGACGCTGCAATCTTCCCCATTATAGGTCAACAATTCGGTACTTGGTTGTTAGCGGTGGGGGGAAGCTAGATATCTCTTTTTCCGGCTGTACCTGCCCGTTAAAAAGGTATAAATCAGTTTTATAGTTTTTGGTCGTATTTAACCGCTGGAAATTATGAAAATATCTTTGAATTTCGAAAGTTTGGCTTTTTTGTCAGTTTCATACCTTTTTGCCTCAAAATGCGAAAAATGGTTTATATTTCTTTCTAGGACCTGGCAGGAGTGCTAGAAAAAATTTATTACGCCCCCCGCTAACAGCCCAGTACCAAAAATCTCCCTTCCCGGGGCGCAGCAGCACCGGTTTTTGTCCATGGGGTGCCGTTTTGATCTGTAGCCCGTAGTTTGTAGTTTTCACGGTTTAAATCATCTTACTGTTAATGACGCCAAATTACAAACTACAGACTACAAAGTGAACAGTACAGTTTGATTTGTAGCCTGTAGTTTGTAGTCTGTGCCTAAGAAATTCTCGTATTATTAATGAAGCCAAACGGCAAAACTACAGACTACAAACTACAACTACAGACCACAAAATCCGTACTGGCGCTAGCCGCTCGCCTCTTCCCTACCCCCGCCCCCCAAGCCCCGAGATTCCCAAAATCTCAATATGCAATTGGTCAAATCGTCGTCTCGCGTGTTTCGCTTGTATTTTCCGTCGTCCCGTTTTCTATCTCTCGCCTCTCCCCATTTTTGTTTTCTGAATGATGATCTTTCCCTTGCGCTGCGCACAATTTACTATTTTTTCTCGGCACTAAAATTTTTTACGATTTTTTGCGATTTTTTAGTATATTAATAATGCCAATTATTTATTCCTCGAGCCGGGCGAATTCTTAGAAAGGGGTTTTCAAGGAAATAATCTTATTTTTGGCATAAATAAAAGGATAAATAGCTAATATTAAAATTCAGGCTTCAAAAACAATTTTTTTAGTTTCAAAAATCTTTCATAAAGATACAGCTGTAATACTCTATAAGGTGATTTTACAAAATTCAAAAACCCCGGCTCGACCACCATCAAGCATTTATAAACCCCCTAATTACTATTTTATGAAATTTTCCCAAAAGCGCCCTACTCCCATTTTTCTAAAAAGCACTTCTTTTGACTACCGTATCCATCCCCCCGGAATTTCTCTAGTCAGCCCCTCTCTCTATTTATTGCCCCCCGAGTTTTCCATTATTTTCGGATATTTTTCCACTTTTTTTTTGTCAGAATATGCTTGTGAATGTTGTTCTTGATACGATATCCTCGTTTCTCCTCTCGAAATGTTCTAATTCTCCCTCTCTCGCTCTCCCTCTCTCATTCTCTCTCTCTCCCTCCCACTCTTGCTACATTTTGCCACCCGCCCACACACTTTTCGATTATTATTATTCTCTCTTTTCTCTTCGAGTATCGTTGGATAAAGTTTTTAAAATACGTCTGGCTGGGGAAAACGCCAAAATACCGACAGACCTCCCGACAGCGATAATACCGGCATCGAAAATCCCGACGGGGCAGAATTCCGGCACGCGTTATCCCTGTGAGCCAAAATGCCGACAAGGTAAAATCCCGACGGCCATGAGCCTAACAACCATAATCCCGACAGCCAAAACCCCGACAGCCAAAATCCCGACAGCCATCGTACCGACAGCCGTAATATCGACAAGGCAAAATTTCAACGGCCATAAGCCCGACAACCGAAATACCGATGGAGAAAATATCGACAAATAAATCCCGATATCCATAATATCGACAGCAAAAATGCCGATAAGGCAAATGCCGACAACCAAAATCCCGACAACGATGTTCCCGACAAGCCAAGCAGTGTAATGACGTAGGTGAAAGGTTTTAAGTTAATTTATCTGGTAGCCGCCTTCGAATAGCAGCCGAATCACAATTCATCTTTTCCAAAATTTTCATAGTACGCGTAGTGGTAGTCTTTCATTCCTTTCTCCATCTGAAAAATAGCTTTAGATCAACTATTAAAAATTACAAATGGTTAACTATAAATTGTGTAGATATCATTAAATAGCATTAAAATACAATACCTTTGTCTCCTGAATATTCAAAAATTTATCGGCCTCCTTTGGTCGATCCGGGATCAACGCGCAAATCCAGCCGAGATGCGCCGTGTTACCCAGCTCTAAAAAGGCATTAATGATAAAATTATTCATTTTAATTAATCTACCAGGGTTGAAAAGCCGCTTCGCGACTTTTCAACCCTGGCCCCGTCTGACCCCCATTTTATCCTTCACTTTGCATAATTGCCCTGCTTTCGGACGACAAAAAATGAAAAACAACCTCTCCTATCCCGTTATATCGTCGAATCCCAACTTCCGGTCTATGCTAATTTGTTCTAACAAAGAACTTTTCACAAAAACTTAAATTTAATGTCGAAAATAGGTAATTTTGTTGAATCTCTTCTGCGTGCAGTCATCTCCAGGCCATTACGCACCTAATGACGTATCATACATACCTTAAAATTCATCCCCTATCGAGATATCCTCCGGACAGACAGACGGAAGTGGATGCAAAGTGGCACACACAGACACACACACGCACAGACACTATTTTTTTATATATAGTAGGATAACAAATTTTAATTAGTAAAACAACAATTATAAAAACAATAAAATAGAAAAGATTTTTAAATCGGCTCACCCTCTTCACACAATTCCCGCAAACAATGCATAATATTCGGCTGCTCGCCGAGGTCGCACCATTTCAGAGTCTAAACCAGCTTTAGTTTTCACTTTTACAACCGCGTTTCATGTTTTTAATTTTATTTTTTAATCTAAAATAAGTTTTTTTCTTCACCTACCAAAACACAAAATCGCTCGGGTCTCAACAGAACGATGAGAGCATCTACGATATCTCGGTACATCCGCACGAGGTAGTCTTGGCACTAAAATAGCCCTTAAATTTGAATACTTAATTTATTTTTAAAAATATATGATTTGATATCAATAAAATAAATATGTAAAATTTAAAGACCTTACTCGATCCATCGTGAAGCACTGGCTGCCCAGCTGAATCTCGTTGGCAAGCGGGCAAAAATCGGCACATGCGGAATAGGCAAACGAGCTGGAAAGGGTGGATAGAATTAGAATACGGTGTTTCGGATTATCGGGGGACGGGCAACTTTTTTCTTTGTGTTAGGCTCCAATTTTCCTAAAATTGGACGCGGACAGCGCTTCTAAACTTATTTTTACTACTCCTAAGCGAAACCCCCTCCGAATTTTTTATTAAAAAAATGCAAAAGATACGGTTTTTCGATAAATTTTAGCATTTTCAAAAATTTACCAGTTTTTTAGGTAGTTTTTCTACTTGAAAAATATGCAAATTCGCTAAAAACCCTATTAAAATATTACTGATACATTATTAAGAACTCTGGAGTTTAGCCAAAATTCGGTCCCCCAGTTAAAGCGAAAGAACCCAGACTAGAAATACATGTAAAAATTTATGAAAAACCAACTTTCTGAACCACACAACCGACTGCTCAATGGCTTGCTTGTCGAGCAGCACTTGGTGCTACAAAAAGTTATAAAAGGTTTAAAACTTCAAAACTCGCGAATAGCCAATTGAGCCCCGACTGACAAAGCGTGCATTCCATGCAGCGAACGGCCGGCCCGATGTCGGTGGCTAAAAAAAAGGTTTTCAACGACGACTTTTTCTCCCCATTTAATTTTAAATAAAACAACATTAAGACCGAGATTAATGCGCACCATTTTTCGCGAGCACCAGCGCATCAGTGCATCCGGGGGCGATGGTGGCGCAGAGGTGACGCGGTGAGGGCAGATAGGTGAGGATCGTCTCGATCAGGAATCGCTCTTCTCTCTAAATTACGCGTCCTATACGATTAATTCATTATAATGGTTTTTTACATATATATTACTATTACAAGTTTATATTAAAAAATATCAAAAATATCGATTTTTCGACCGAAAATGGCCGATTTTTGTCCATGCGAAAGTTTTTTTTAGATATTTATCTAGTTAAAATATAATTATATATTACTAAAAACACTATTAAATCACGTTCTATTAAGTCTCAAAATTTGTCACTTAATAAACCCACGGAGTGCTTGACCCAGTTCGGCTTGAGGCGCTTCTCCACCTCGCCGGCGAACCGCTCGCAAAGGTTGCAGAAGGGGCCCGGCTAAAGGCTGCATTTTCTCTAGATATCTAAAGCACGCACATGGACGGTGGCGAGCTGGGCGGAGAAACCATACAACTGCTCCCACGTGATTTGATTCATATCGGTGAATGGGCCATCGAGGTGGCACGCCGCCGAGTCGGAGAGGGATTTCTAAATATAATAGTTAAAGCTTAATAGCTTTAAATAAACACGAAATATTAAAGAAAAATAATAATAATAAATACTAACTAAAACCGCGAAAAATTTTCTTACCCGCAGCCCATCGATGTAAATGAAGAATGGGTCGGCTTGCTCGTCGGTGGTGAAGAAGGTGGCTGGCTAAATAACGGAAAAATAATCCTTAGGAAACCTGCTGAGCTTAAGCCTAAGCCAAGCCTAAGCCAAGCCTAAGCCAAGCCTAAGCCAAGCCTAAGCCAAGCCTAAGCCAAGCCTAAGCCAAGCCTATGCCCAAGCCTAAACCCAAGCCTAAACCCAAGCACACTCACAACATCTCCAGGTTGCGATTCTTCCATCTCTTCAGCTTCCAATGGAATGGCCTAAAATTCGGAATTATTTAATTGATTAAAATAGGTGTATAATGATAAATTCGGCATTAGGAAAGTTCGTAATTATGGCGATAGGTGCAAACAAGCCACTAAAGTTGCAATTCCACCAACCGAAGGTGATGCCGAAGATCCGTCCGTCGGCTGAGCGCCAGGCTAAACGTCTATTGTCTAAAAATATAAAATTCAGACCGTCGTTGTCGGAGCACCAGAACTCGACGCCCCGGAAGCGGCGGAAGCCTAGAAAACCTCATTCCATCCGAGATTTATGAAAACTTACAGCTGACGCATCCGTGGCCGCGTTCGTCGTGCCGGTCGGCTAAAAAATCCGGGGATGCATGTTTTACTTAATTTTACGGAAAAATCAAAAAACCTCGATTTTTCGACCGAAAATGACCAATTTTTGCACAAAATGTCCATTGTTTCAAACATTTTTGATATATAAACAGTGGTGTTGTTTCTAAGCGGTTCTTTACTATTCCTAAACGTAAGAACTTCACGAATTTTTACGTAAAAATAGCACACAAAAAATCGATTTTCGCCCAAATGTCCACTTTTTCAAACGTTTTTGAAGTTTTAAGATAATTTTTCTAGTTGAAAGATAGTTATATTGTATTAAGAACACTATCAAAATACTTCCTATTAAGTTACAAGGCATTTCTAGACTAATACAAAAAAAATTCGCCACCTCCCCCCGATAATGCGAAAACCGGGGGTTTTTCGCATTATCGGGGGAGGTTTTTTGATTTTCGCATTTTTTGATAAATAAAAACGTACGGCAATTGTTGAAGGTGGTCGAGGGGTGCCCTTGGTGGGACCCGGCGGGAATATCGTCGCATTGGGGGGCGGGCAAGTTGGAGCCGGACAATTCGTCGGGTAGTCACCAACTTCTTGTTGAGCACGCTGAAAAGAGCAGATCATTCTTCAACCCTTTACCTTGTTAAAGCGTCTTAATAACATACACAACATACCTTTACGATATTTTCCATTAAACGGGCCCTCAAAACGTCCCTTCGCTCCGAGGCCTCGCGCATTATCGCCCGCCACGACCTCTCCAGCGTCTCGGCACCGATCTGCGCATCTCGCTCGCACGTTTCTCGCTGGAAATCAGGTTGGTACTAGAATTTTTGGCGGGGCAGGGTAGGGTTCTACCGTATTTGATTTAAAATGTGAGCTTAAATTAATTTTTAATGAGCGAAATATATTAAGAAGCTCTTTCGAAACCTTTAAAATAGTTACTATTACGTTATTAGGAATTTCTGGAAGGCAAAAATTCAGTGAATAGAAAAATTTAAATTCTTGACGCCCTTCAAAAATTTTTTGTCGAAAAGCTTTTCAGGAACTTTCTATGCCTAAAAAACGACTTAAAAGGCCCGAAGCCTCCTCTCCCCCGTTAACAGTCCAGTACCAGATGTTTTTCCAAGTTTCGAGCTTATTTAAAAACCGTAAAAAACATAAAAACCAACAAATTTCGACTCATGTTTCGCCGCGGCGACCACGAATAGACCAAAAATTAGCAACAGCGATCGCATTTCGGGGGTAGGGCTGAGGGCAAGGAATGCGACTGCAGCCGATCGAATGAATGGCCACTCACTTCCCTCCGGGTTGGGCACGACCGATAAGGAGTCGTCGACACATAGAGACGGAGGAGAAGCAGGCGAGAAAATGGGAGCCGAACAATCGCCACATTTCCATTTATTTTTATGGAGGGCGGGTGTCAGCGAGCTGGTTTTTTTTTATAGTTCTAACGGTTTTGTGTGGCTTTGAGCGCCATTTTCCTAAATATAAAGTCATCCCGGCGAAAATTCCTGCAGACTATCAGAGTATCGCATAGTCGTCATTTATTCGGCTTAAAAAACCCAAAATGCACATCTCACGGTACGATAAGCTCCTAAAAACAACGCACAAGGCAACGATGTGCCCCACGGGGGTTCGGTGCCAACGCCAACCGGACCCGGGTCGAATATATAAATCTCTATAAAACAAACGAACGATCGAAAAAAACGAGAGGCCACACACAACGCGAAAAGCCACAATGCGTATTGGGGGAGGGGATAATTTCGTGCGTCCATTGACGGGCGAGTTCAATGATAAGTGATCGTTATTTCTCTAAATTGGATTTGACAAAACGGACACACCGGTTTTAAGAGCGAATGAGTTACGGAGGCGAAAAAGTATAACAAAGCGCGTGGAGTCGATATGGATTGCTTAGAAGTTGACAGTCTTCTTGATCGAGTCGAACACCCTCCAGACGGTCGGCAGGTAGAAGGGCTCGTAGACGTGGGGGAACGGCGTGTCCCAACCGCATGACCTGGCCACCGGTGATTCGAGGTGCAGGAAGCAACGTTCCTGAAAGAAAAGGAAAAAATTCTTCGATTTTGGCCACAAAATCTGTTTTTCTTTTTACATTATCTGAGGAGGAAAATATTAGCAATTTATTTGTTTATTCAATATTTCGACTACTATTTAAAATCAAAAGACCATAATTTGTATTAAAACTGAGTCACAATTTTTGTCCGTCCAAATATGGCTCAAATTGACTAGAACATTAATAAAACACTTCCTATTTCATTGCAAGGCAGACCTGGATTTATAGTAAAGCGCCCGGCTGCCCCACCTAAAATGCCAAAGCACCGAAAATCCCACCTGAATCGCCGCCGCGATCTCGGCACCAAATCCACTGGTCTTGGGAGCCTCGTGGGAGACGATCAAACGGCCCGTCTTCTTGACGCTCTAGAAGAAAGGGTTTCCTGTGATATGAAAAAATTAAAAATACCTGGACGATGTGCTCCTCATCCCATGGCTGGATCGTTTGCAGATCGATAACCTAAAAGAAAGCTTTTTTAAGGCACAAATCTGTCACCTCGACCGATACGCCCAACTTTTCCTGTGCCAACTGGGCAGCTTCCAAGCAAACGTGCACCTGGGTGCCCCAAGAAACGATTGTCACGTCTTTTCCTAGAATAGGGAGGGTAACAAAGCATTAAAAAAAGCTTGTGCCCAAAATTTCATATTAAAAATGTAAAAGTAATATCTGATAAAAATAGTACCTGACCGAACCGTTTCCGCTTTTGAGAGGGGAATCATGAAGTCGCCCGTTGGGACTTCTTCGGCCGCCAGACGGTAGAGGATCTGAAACGCGGAAATTTAATCTAGAATTGAAACATTTTTTAATTCATGAAAATCTGGTTAAAAGTTCTCACCTTGGGCTCGAAAAAGATGGCCGGGTTGTCGTCGCGAATGCAGGAAAGCAAGAGTCCCTTGGCCTGGGTCGGGCCTCGAGGGACGACAACCTGAGAAAGACATCGATTAATAGCTATAGAATTCTCACCTTGATCCCAGGTGTGTGCGTGAAATTGGCTTCGGGACTTTGTGAGTGGTAGAGTGCTCCGTGGCCCACAGCGCCCCAGGTAGCTCGAACGGTCAGCTTGCCGCATTCGAAGAGGCCACCGCTGCGGTAGCGGTACTTTGCCGCTTCGTTGACGAGCTGAAATTTCAAAAATATCCTAAATAGCAAATTCCATACCTGATCGTAAGCTGGGAAAATGTAGTCGCCAAATTGAATCTCTGCAATGGCCGTGCTTCCCGCGACAGCGACACCGATCCCAAAGCCGGCAATGCCCTGCTCGCAGAGGGGCGTGTTGAAGACGCGGTCAGATCCTGAACGCAAAATCTTCCTGAAGGCGTCGAAATCCATACCGTATTTATCTTTTAGACCCAATGAGCAGCGGAAGACACCTCCGAAGGCGACGTCTTCGCCTAAAAGGTAAAATAGACGTCCAGGCTTCAAATCCCAATCTTTTCGGCTTGAAATATTAACAAAACGCACCAAAAAGTATAGCCGAAGGATCGGTGGCCATGGCGATATCCATCGCGTTGTTCACAGCCTGGCACAGGTTCATTTTCGTCCTTTCTTCGCCTAAAAGCATATAAAACAACTTTTAAGGCTCGCTAACCATATTCCTTGGGGGCTTCGGTGGGCTGGAAGTTGAAGTGAGCGGCTCCTCGCTTCGCCAAAACGCCACGGGTCCGGCCGCCCAAAAGCGCGATGTTCCGCAGGGCCATCGCCTGAAAAGAAATATGATTTTGACGTTCGTGTGAAAAGGGACAACGTAAGAAGAAAGCGATAGAACTGATGGGAGCTAATTTGGGCCGAAACAATCAGTTTTCTACCCCGATTTCTAAAGTAAATAGCAGTCGATTCAATTTTATTAGTAGCTGCTGACCAACTATCTAAATTTTGGCCGTTTTCCCAGTGAAAAGTGATATTTTATGCTTCGTTAGGGCCAACCCAAATCACACCACAAAGATTCTCAGGGAGATATGTTTTCAGAGCGACCGCAGAAAGCGCGTGCCTTCTACTCGGCAAGAGGAGCAGCCGGAATGCTAAAATGGTAGAAGCGGAACGAAAACTATATTTAAACGGAAAACAAAGAGTAAATCGTGAAAAAAAGATCGGGATACAGGTAGAACATCTACAGATGAAGCTAGAAAATCTGGAGAACAAACGAAGCTTCGCTCAGAAAGCCATGAATCGGACAATTCAAAAGGGGCAATGAAGAAAAGTGCATTTTTTGTGCGCAAAACGTAAAACGAAGTCAGCTTCGAAGCTTTGCGAAGTCCAAAATGGAAAATTCCGGTTGAATACAATTGACGCCGTTTTTCCAAATTTAGCGACCCGGCTACCGTATCTGATAGTACGTTCACTACACGCAACGCTATAAAAGCCCAGAATAGAGTCTTACAAACCATATTTTCGAATTTTGCGATTTCAAAATATTTTCTAGTTTTGCTTGACTTTTGCGAAGTACCTGTCACTATATTGCATTTTCAGAACCTCAAGCTCGTCCAAAATGGCTCGCACCAAGCAAACGGCCCGCATCTCGACGGCTGGCGGCAAGGCGCCGCGGAAGAATCTCGCCGTTAAGGTTCTATCTGTTTTTATATTTTTGTATTTTTTTCTAGACTGCTCGTAAATCCCATGATGCGAAGGGAGGCGTCAAGAAGCCCCATCGTTACCGTCCCGGCACCGTGGCCCTCCGGGAGATTCGCCGCTTCCAAAAATCGACGGAGCTTCTGATCCGCAAGTTGCCCTTCCAACGCCTGGTGGGTTTATTTCGGTTTTTATTTGGGTAATACGTTCTTTTACAGGTGCGTGAGATCGCCCAGGACTTCAAGTCGGAACTTCGTTTCCAATCAGCCGCGATTGGTGCCCTGCAGGAAGCTTCCGAGGCCTACCTAGTCGGCTTGTTCGAGGTAGAGCTTATTTTTTGCCTATTGTCTAATCCTTTACTGTTTTAGGACACCAACCTCTGCGCCATCCACGCCAAGAGGGTCACCATCATGCCGAAGGATATCCAGCTTGCGCGTCGAATCCGTGGAGAGCGCACCTAATTGGACAAGTTGGCCTTACCTTGCTGTCGCCTTCATTTTTTGTAATAAGTTTGTTTTTCATTTGATGCTTTAAAAGCACATGCATTTATGCATTGCTGAACCTTATTCGCTTTAAAATACTTGATGCCGTCTGGCCATATTCGATGATTAATTAACGCGTCTAAGGATAATAAACTTTTGTTGTAATCTTTTACTATTTATGGATTTTTCCTGAAGAGGGTCACATGGTAGAACAGAAGGCTAGATGTGCTGGTGAAATCGACATCCCCTATAATTCCGGGGTGGTTTGGCTGATATTTCAACGTTGTGGTGAAGCTTCCACAGACATCGATGCGCCGATTTCACCGCACGAGCCGAGCCGAGGGTTGAGCTATCAAGATCCAAAGCACCAATATGCCGGGGTATCCCCCCACGGGTGCTTATAGAGAGCGAAACACGACGACGCACCCCATATTTGCTTGCCCTTTTTGCCGAACCCCGCAGCAAGCAATTTAATGATCGCAGCGCATAATGTCAACAGCATCGAAATCCTCTTTTCTCAGAGGGTGCGCCGTTCGTGAATAACATTGGCTTTTCGTCGTTCCCTATATAAGAAATGCAACAAACAGCGATGTGGTTTATCATGGGTTGATTTCATCAACGAGTAGTTATTTTAGTAAAACGAGGCCTGCAAAGGCATTTGATCTGCTTTTTTCCACGACAACCCAAGCCTTCGATGTTTTCGTTATCGGCCAGTTCAAAAAGCATTTGTTTCCTTTGTTTGCGGCTGCTGAAAAGAGAAGGAGGCTGGGGCAAGAAGTCTAGCATTTTTCGCCCACGTGTTGCCCTTTTTAGATTCTGGGTTAGCCTAACGTGGTACTCAGATAGCCATCGAAGTAGCCGGTGTCCGTCTAACGTCACTAATACTACAGTGCTGCTTATCTAATCGCAACCGGTTGCAAGGCGGAGTTCCAGGCCTATTTTTGGGGGCAGCTTTACTGATTACGTGTGTTGCTCCATGGGGTTTATTAGTTGTTTTGCTGTCCGAAAAGGCAGTTCAACTTTTCAGCTTTCCAATATAGATTAATTGCAGTTTTGAAGGAATTGATAGTACATTATTTTGAGCTGTGATTATGATTTTTAGTGATTTTTGATTCTAGATGGCAGGGCGCGGCCAAAATTCCGGGAAGAGATTGACGTTAGGTTCTTTCGCATTACCGGGGGACCGAACTTTTTTTGAAAAAGTTTAGAAATGTCTTGTAACGTAATAGGAAGTGTTTTAATAGTGTTTTAATACACGCTAATTATGTTTCAACTAGGAATATGATCTAAAAACTTTAAAACCCTGTGAAAAGCCGATTTTAATCAAAAATCTGCCATTTTTGGTCGCAAAATACTTTTTACTTTTTTACTAACAACTTTTTAAATGTACACGTTTAGGAACAGTAAAAAACCGTTTAGAAACATCGCCACTTTTTATATTTGAAAAATTAGATCCTACGAAAAAATAATAATGAGATTGCGCCATATAAGTTTTTTTTGCCTAAATGATCAGGGTCCTATATAGCTCAACGCGAGACCAAAATGTCAATCGCATCGGTTTGTCTGGTGAGTCGATTCCGTGTCTGTCCGTCCGTCCGTCCAAATCGTCGTCCTAAAGAGTCGGGGCGGACTAGGGCATTCATGCGCGCAGATCCCGATCGAGCCGGGTCCGATTGTGGCCGATAAATACTGGCCGGGGCGTGTGTGTATGTATGTATGTATGTATAAGGCTATTACAGACAGGCAGAGCATATCCGCGAGTTGCGCCCGGTGCCGCGAACTTTGCGGCGCGTACTTTTGCGGCGCGAACTTTGCGGCGCGAATTTTGCGGCTGCGAACTTTGCGGCGCGAATTTTGCGGCGCGAACCTTGCGGCCGAAGATTGCGGCGCGAATTTTGCGGCGCGAACATTGCGGCCGAATTTTGCGGCGCGATGCTTAGGCACAGGCCTTTGGTTATTTTGCACACACGCACGCACTGCATCCGAATTTCGTCATAGAAACGTTACAAGACCGTTTTGCGACAGGAGTCACTCGATTTGGGGGAAATTAATCGCTTTTGCTTTCGCTCTGCGACTAGAAAAAGGCTTCGTGCCACCCGGGGCCTAGTCGCTTCGGATGGGTGCGAGCTCGTACAGGGTTTCGAAATCGGGGCGCCCGAGCAGCGCGAAGCGCCCAGGCGCCTCGATTTCGAAAGAGTGGAGCGGCAGCCCATCCGAAGCGACGGCCCACCTTGCCTGACGCCCCCAAGAGGTCTCTTGTCACGGCATTGCGTAAAGTTGCAGTGAATTTGTATGGAATTACATATATAACCATTACAAAAACAAAACTGGCGGTGATTCTGATTCCTAATTTCTGAAATTCCTCTGAAATCTGATCCTGAACTCAAAACAAATTCTGAATTTAAATGATTTCCATTAATATTTGTTGCGCCGCAAAATTCGGCCGCAAAATTCGCGCCGCAAAGTTCGCGCCGCAAAAGTGCGCGCCGCAAAATTCGGCCGCAATGTTCGCGCCGCAAAGTTCGCGCCGCAAAATTCGCGCCGCAAAGTTCGCGCCGCAAAAGTGATCGCCGCAAAGTTCGCGGAGCCCTCGCCCCCTGAGATTCGTCATTTTGAGCGTGGAGGGTGGGTGGTGGGGAGGGCAAGTTTCGCGCGATGATCCACACCCTAGCCCTCACATTTTGTTGTTTTGGCGTTTGGGCGCGGCATGACTATTACTCCGATAGTTTTTTTGGTTCTCCAATATATGACTGTCTACTGTTTAGAACGGGTCAATTTTTGAACTCAGCTGTTTGGTAAAATTTGGTAGGGCTTATGGTTTTTTGGTTCTTGTTACTAGCGGGGAGTTATCGATTGGTTTTGATGGCATTTGTACCTTTTTCAAGCTGCAAATAAATGCTCATAAAAATTTCCAAAAATTTTTAACTTGGTCAATACGAAATAATTGCTAATTTTAAAATTTTTCTGCAATATCTTTTTAGTAATAAAAACCCACTCAAAAACAGCACAAAGCTCTCCAGAAAAATTTGCTCGCAAATTTACGCTATTTTTATGGCATTTTCCGCCAT